CAAGAGCCAAGGACCACTTGTGGAGAGCTTCAGACAGACCTGGAAGGTGTTTTGTTTTCACTGCTATTATCATACATTTTGATATCAAAATCTTTAAAAAAGAATCATGATTAATCAAATAATATAATAAAAGATAACCATTTAAACACTTTTTGTATTTTCAACCTTTATTCCATTACTGCCAACCTTTGATGAGTAAATATTTATTTCTGTTTGTACCAGTAGATATGCATTCCTCAGAAGTGAGGAAGTCATTATTTGCCTCACATATGAAGAAAAGCAAACATTTACATGAAAAATCAAAATATTTTTGTTAAATTGACTACATATGAGAGAAATTATTATATTTTATTTTTTTATTATATTAAAATCTTTTTTTTTCCACATACTCAAGTTGTGCTTTTTGTAGATTCATGTTAAACCATAAGGATATGTTCTATCTTTTAAAGTCAATTCAGTTAACAAATGTGTTTTTGTTGCATATGTTCATTGTTCACTGTGCTCGCTGAAACACAAAAAAACATCTATGAGAAGTACAGATTTATCTTTTTGGTAAACACACAGAGAGCAAAGATGACAGGACAGAACAACCCACAATAAACTGTCAAAACCTTACTCATAATCAGCTGATGTGCATCAGTAACTTGATAATGGTCTCCGTAAAATGACTTGTCTACATCAGAATGTCTTAAAAAAGCTGAAAACTTTATATCCTCTTGTTTTCATGTCTTGGCTCGCATGCATAGTTGGAAAGTAAAAGAGATAATATGCAAATACAACAGATGTTTTAGTTTAAATTAGCCTCCAATAGACATTCATGTGTGCACATGTGAATGTTTTCTCAAATCTTAGTCAGTCATTCCTGAGTCCGTGAGTCAGCCTGCTCGCTGACAGGAAACAGGAAACTAAAACTGGACTGTGTGAAACAGTTACAGGGGGGTTCAGTTTGTCATTTTTGTTTATTTAAGCCACAACAATGCTCATATTGAAACATCTACCATGGAATAATTATAAGCAACATGCAGAATTGCTTAGAAAGGAAATAAAAGACAGCAGCAGATGTGGAGATGCAGGAAATCTTTTGTTTCACTTCTGTTTTTGTGGTAATATTTTATTCTCACAAGACTGTGTATTTTTCCATAATCTTAACAGTCAATATTGCATCTGATGATTTACATATAAACACCTTCATTTACCACCAACTTTATTAGCTTTTATTTAGTTTAATTGCTTTATATGAAATAGGATAGTAGTTACTTTTAAAGTGTTGCACAGTCAATAAGACATATGATAGCATTTGTATTTTCCAAAAATGTGCAGATTTATCATTTGATCCCAACAGACCTTTTGAACAAGTAATCTAGTTTATGTACTGAGGTTGAAGGTTTAGCTTCCTGAGATCAGTTCTTCAGTGCTGTTGAGCCATTTAAAAGTTACACTCAAAAATACCAAGTCTAACAGTAGGTGTACACTGTTTTTACTGACTATATTTTCAAGTTAGAATATGTTACAAATCTGTTTGTTGACATCTAAAGAAAATCAAAGAATAACTTAATATCTTACAATTTTAATATTTCCAACACATTTACTTGTGTACATTACTTTTTAAATGGAAAGTTGTTTTTTTATCCTTTTATCTATTGTCTATTTCCACCAAAGAGTTATTTATGTATAATATCAAATCTAGGTTATGTTTTAAACCTCTATATCTAAAAATAAAAGAGCATGTTTTGTTTTTTCCAACGTGTGTTCCTAATTGGACTAAATCACTTTTTAAGCCCATGTTATTAGGCTCATTTGTTACTCGTTAAACTATTGGTGGCCTAGAAACTTTAAATAGATTAGGTTTGATTTAAAAGACAGTGTTCAATAATCAACAGATAAACAAATCAGTCTCCAAACATCGCAGTTTTCATTGGTGAATACAGTAACATGGGCAGAATATGGTAAACATTGTTCAAATGTCCCAGTACATTGATCTGATACTCAGGTAAGAAACACAGAACTGCAATTTATCTAAACTAAACAAACTAGTTGTTACTTGGCAAATAATCAGTTACAAATGTGATTTTTTTTTAATTATTATGATGAATTATTGTAAAAGTGCATCTGGCTCCAGTTTACTGGACAGTGAAAACGCTCCGCTCCCAGCTGGACTGGTTCACCAGAACGTCATCCTCTTCCTTCATGTTGTTGATCAGATATTTGACTCCAGCTTTCACGCCGGTTTTCACCCCTGCCCCCAGAGCRTAGCCAGCCACACCAGCGGTCCCGCCCGTGGCGACCATCAGGGCATCGGTTCCCAGGTCCACAGCGCTGAGGATGGCTCTCTCCTTGGCTGTGGCTGGGCAGTTCACCGAGGCGTAGTACACAGCTGTGCCCAGGTTGTAGAGGGTGCTGACCCCCGGTATCCACTCCATGACGTTATACACGCGCTCCTCGTTTTTGTTGATGCAGCTCCTGCGGGGGCTGCGCCTTGTCCGTTGGCCCGAAGCTGTTGTGATCAGATCGTCCTCCTGGGTACTGCAGTGACGGATCCAGCACTCAGACTCTGTGGACGTGGATGGAAAGATGCGGCTCCCTGTTTTTAGCACTGCTTGGTACAAACCAGGCAGGAGCGGTCCACCGCTGCGCACCCCGGCGCACAGGGCCCCCAGTCTTTCACAGCTGCTCACAGCATCCTTCAGTCCACCTGTGGATCCTTTCACAGGTGTTCCCACCAGTCTGGTCCCATTTACTCTGGTCCAACCCTCACAATGCCCTTCCTGTGGAGAGGTGCCCTCTTCCTTCAAGGCCAGCTGCTGAATGTTAAACATCACAGCATCCAGRCGTCGACTCTCTTCATCTCTTTCTGAAGGCGGTGCTGGTGAGGCTGGTGCAGATGTGGACCTGCTCATCTTCCTCTCAATAAGAGCTTCCAGCTCCATCAGGAGCTCCTCTGTGTCAGCCTCCCCCAGCAGGTCGTACAGCTTCAGCACCAGGGTCTGAGCCTCCTCGGGACATCCCGCCACCGCCAACACCGGGACCAAAGAGAGACCCAGCAGCTCCCGAGGGACCACCGAAGATAACGGATCATCCATTGTGCTGCCAGAGAGCAGCTCCTCACAGCTGATATTCCCTTCAATGTGGAGATGGTCCTGAAGCTTCGCCCTGAGGAATGATGTCACACGTCCAGCAGACTGGACTCTTTCCTCTTCTTGGGAAACTGGTGATTCAGGTTCAGATTGGTTTGTGGGCGACAGACTGGGCTGTGGATGAAGGTCCAGTTTGAGTTTGTTCTCAGCGTCATCATAAGCATGATTTTCTTGAAGTAGCGTGTCCCTCTTCACCAAAGAGGGTGGGGCTCTGCAGAGGGCCTGTTCAGTCAGCARGAGCTGGATCACAATTAGCCACTTACACTTGGAGAACATTATCCCATTCATCACAGAAGTCTTCTTCAAAACCACAAAACTAAAAGCAGGAAAGCAAAAACTTTTGTTAGTCTTTATAAACTCACCATTTTAGATCATTAACAAAAATGCATCCACTCAAAGTTGAGGTAATTTTTGCAGATTTTGTCATGATTTGTAATTATGTTGTGTTCACTCAGAAAAGTGTGACTGGGCTAAATTAACATTTACAAAATATATATTAGTAGTTTGTTCTAAAAATAATGACTGTGTGTAGTTTTGTATATTATTATGTTGGTTCTGTTGAATTTTAATCATTTGTCAACTGCATTTTGCTTATATTTTAATAAATAATTTCAGCTCAAAATTACCGAGTAGGATTTAAATTATTTTTATCAGTAAGCTCAACAATGTTGAATAATCAATAAATTCTACTCAATGGGAACTCTTTGGTTTTATTCGTCGTACACCTCCGCCCCAGGAATTGCCCCACATGAAAGTTGAAATCGGCAAGGAATTCAAGGTAAGAAGCTTCAATAGTAACATTTTATATCTATGGTGGTCCAGCATTTGAACATTTTTGTCTGTTTCCATGATTTACCTAACAAGTATACAGTATGTTACATTTAACACAATTTATTGTAATTCAGAACCATACCTTCCATACCTTTCTCCACCTCAACAAGCTGGCTAAAACTTGAGCGCAAAGGCCCATAAGAAATGTCCTCAATCCGCATTTATTTCATGTTATCTTGTTTTCAAAGTGTTGTGTTTTTAGTCATGGTGACAGCATATAGCTAACAGCAACATGTAAATGTGAGAGGTTAATAATTAATTGAGCTCCTACACCTTATGATCAGAATGGACATCCAACTTGACTGGCCTGCTCAGAGTTCTGATCCCAACTTTCTAGAACAGCTTGTCAATATTCATTACTCTTCTTTTACCAGTTTAATTTATGTAAAAATGTATGTGACACTTGAGCATATGTAAGTTTTCCTTTAAAACCTCTATGTAAAAATGGAGTTGAAAAATATTGTTTTTTTATTATTGTTTGTTTGTTTTTGCTCTACTGTACATTAGAAGGCATAATTAGCAGTATACCTTAGAAACATTGGGAAGCAGCTAGTTTGGTGAAAAACTGTACCTATGATCCCATACGATCAGTGATAAACAACATTGCTTTGGTGTTATGGAGTATTTTTTTTTCAAAGACCAGTCACTTTCTGAAGTGATTGCTGGTTGTCTGAAACCTCTTTTAATACAGGAAGTGTTTCATAAGACTTGCTGCTTTGCAGCACATTGGTTTCTTGCCTCCTGTTGTTAAAAACTGCTCTGTGATCTTCACTAATATTAATTTGTTATTTTAGGCATCTAGCAATCCTACCATCAACTTGACCAGAGACCTTGTCATCCAGTGTCTGATGCTGTACCTTATGTAAGTTAAAATGCCTGTCTTCCTCGATCTATGTTTTTTGACTATCACCTTTAGCTTTACAGCCCAAGATACAAAATGTTCTTCTTGTTTTAGGATGAAAATGAAGACAGTGTGGCACAAGACCTTGCTGTACAAGGGATAAAGGTCTACAGCATCCAGACTAATCTGTCAGAGGGTACAGAGGACATCGATGGAACAAAGGTCATGACCAATCTGGGCAACTTTCCAAGGGCTGGTGCCAGGCTAATGCATTGAATCTTGCATACCCCAAGGAGCTCAGAAGCCTTTCAGAAACTTTTCATCGAGCTAGACTGGTCAAAGCTTTCCCCAAAACTGAACACCCTCAAAAGCAAGCTATTGGCTAAACCAAAGGACCCCTTAACACACTGGAGGACTCAAGTCTTCAAGTCTTGTTCAGAAAAAATGTTATCTACACTTATTTGAAGGATATGATGTTATACTTTGGACATGGAAAGTTGTGTTTTAAAAATGCAGAGCTTCTTGATTACACAATGGACTCTTTGCTACCAGCATCCCACAGTTCTAATATGAAGATGGAAAATGTTTTTCTGAATAATCTCATTTTGGCGCAACTCTTAGTTGAAAGCAATAGTTGTACAGGTCTGACACTAAGGAATCAACCTGCTGTTGGTCTGCSAAAACTGCCAACCGTCATTGTCTCCACAAATATTGTATCATTCTGCTTGCAGGCGTCAAAGATCCTGCCATTCTGAAATTGTGATTTGAAAACAACCTTAATTTTTCACATTCTGCACTTGTGAGAAATTTCAAGATCGTTAAACTGTCCTTGCAAAAGTGACAATTTCATAAACAGCCCTGATCAACATACAAAATAAATATAATGGCAGCAAACATATTCCTAATGTACAAAACTTTTATGTTTATTTGTTCATCATTTTATACGAAATTGTTTTTAAAAGAATGAAAATTTGTTTGCAAAAAAAGTTACACAAATAAATGTTTGTTTKCTGTTTTTCAACATCTGGTAATTTGTTAACTGATCTTCAATATATTTTTTGCAAAAAGAAGGCATGATACCGTATTAAGTAGAGTCAACACAAAATAATTATGGCAAGAAAGTGACAATTAATAACAGTAAATAGATTTTAAGCCATGTGGTACCAATCCTAAGGTAATTTGAATAATTTAATTTATGTAAATATGAATAAAAATTGCAGAGTAAATGTGTTGAATTAAGTGACATTGTTCCAAGTATGAGTTAATGTAACATAATTTATTTATTGGATCCAAATTATATTTATCCAGATATTTAGAAAAAATGCCATTATTTTCACTGACAAAATTAGTAGATATAAATTAATATTATCGACATATTTGGTAAACAAAAATCTC